ACATCGTAAGAAGCAGGAGAGTGTTGTGGAAAGAGCATGGGCTCAGGCATGGGATTAGTTATCGCTTGTTGGTTGTATGTCCTTGGACAAATTGCCAAATGAGTCTGAACTCCATTTCCTCATATGGAACTTGTGAATAATATAGATAAAAAGCCACGAACATAGTGCTTGGAGAATTGTGGCTACTTGATGTGTTGGATTTGGGAAACTAACATTCATTCATCCCAACTCCTTCCTATACCCTCTGCTGTATCTGTGTGGTTAGAATTCTGGGAACGACATTTCCCAGCATCTCTTACCAGTAGGATCTTGATTTAGATTCCACCAGTGGGAGGCATTTGGGGATGATTTGGAAGTAGAAGAAAAACAAAAGTCACTAGTGTTCCTACAACTTGGTGGATATCACATGAACTTCAGGAGACAGTAGTCATGAGGTTTGGCTGGTGGCTTCTGGAATCTCCCCTGAAGTTTATTCACTTTGGGGCGATGGGCGGCCCAGATCACCAGTGGCAGTTTCTGGGGCCCCTGCCTCTACTTTCTAATTTTCTGAAAGTTATTTGTGGCTTTCCTCTGACTTGATCCTCTCAGTTCATGCACTAGTGTCTAAGGCTCAAATTCCCTGCATTAAAATACCTTCCTACTAGAAACACCTAGAGAGGTTTCTCTTTTCCTGGCTGAGGCTCACTACCATATCTGAGTTTAAAAAATATACAGAAAAAATGGTGAGAATGAATGGTCTTATGTTTTCTTAGGGAGAAAAAGAAACATTTGCAAAGCTGAAAACTCGGGAGGGCTTGAATGGTAATAGTTAGGCCTGATTTGGGACTTGCGGAAAATTTGGCTCAGGTTTAGCCAGGAGAGCTTGAGGAAGAGAGAATGGTAAGTCACAGGCATTTGGCTAAGAAATGAGATTTCAAAATTATTCTTCTTCCCCTGCCACTGGACAAGGAATTCTTGACAGCAGGATGATCTAAAGCAGAGTAAATTGAACAATGAAAAATGTAACTAGGATGGAAGAAAAAATAATCTTCCTAATACTGATGCATATGACACTTCAGGTGGGGAAGAGATGATTGAAATAGATTTATTCCATAATAGACAGAGATACACCCACAGAACCTATAGTGAGAAAAAGAAATCTATAGTCACAATGAAATGATATCTCTTTAATGTTTTACTGGACAATCCTTCTGACCCCTTTTAAATGAATGTCAACTGCAACCCATTCAAATAGACCTTTTGGAGTTGGTTAAATGGTAAAATGTGTCTTCCTCTTATCTGAGGAGCTGCGTGGAGCCCTCATCCCCAGTAGCCCACAGGCACCTCTTAGAGAGGATCTCGAGTTACATCCTGGTAGAACAGAAAGCCTGTAATTTTGATGCATTCAGCACTGGAGGTGTGGTTCTCAGGCTACTTCTGAGTGTGAGAGCATCCTTCACTATCTTCTTCTGTGAAGGTTTCAGTTAAAAGTCAAAGCCTCGCTTTAAACTTGGAGTCTGTTATATTCTTTTCCACCACAAAATCAATCCAGATAAGGGAGTAAATACAAAGACAGGCTTTATCAAGTGACGGGTGATGGCAGCCCACACCAGCCTGGGCTTGAGAGAAGCCATTTCAGTGCTTACCTGTGGTCCAGATAGTCCCTCCTATTTGAGCCTGTTTTCCTCTGAGGCTCACATGCAGTCTCCTCCTGTGCCAACACCTGACCAGCTGGGGGGTTGAGTGCCTAGGGTGCAGGAAATTCTAGTTTTTGCCCACCTGGGCTGCCCACGGAGAGGTTTCTTTGGAAAGACCCTGAGGCGAGTCAAGGGTTCAGTCGCGCTGGGGCCCACTCAGTGTTCTGGCTCAGAGGGAAGGTAGCAGTAATGAATGGGCATGAGCTAGGCGGAGGGCAGGCAGGTGGAGCCCAAGAGAGGCGAGCAGATGAAGATGGGAATGGTGACACCGTGTCTCAGGACATAAGAGGGAGCAGGCGCAGTGCACTCTCATCCTGGACATAATCACAGGAATTTGTGGCTGGGAGGTTGGGCATCTTTCCTGTGTAACCTTGAATATGCATGTCAGACCATGGGTGATGAATTAAGGTGTCTGGCTCCAACTCCAACTTTGTCTCCTTGTGGGTAGATTTGATCAGATAATCTATGGTTTTGGAAGAAGCACACATATTAGGATAAAGAACGAAGAAGTTGATAGTGTATTTGTTTAGAAACTACTCGTATTAAGGGGGTTTGTAAAGACGTAACGTTGCCCTTATAAATGTGTGGACATTGCCTGCCTGTTGTTACATTGGTAGAATTAAAAGTGTCAAGTAAATCAAGGAAGCAGGTTTTGGATAGTAAGGAATGAGAGAAAGAGCTACAAACAGCCCAAGGATACTGTTATTAGATGTGAAGCCCTGGGGTCTTACTAGCTACACCTGCATAATTGTCCCTTTCATCAGCCCTGAACTCCCAGAGACAGGGACTGTATCTCCCGTAATGCCTGGAGCAGGGCTGGTGCACTGCTGGCTCTCAGCATGTCTGTGACATTGAATGAATGACTGGACGCAGACATGGGTGGGCACACGCATGGAGCCCTCTCCTCTTCTGGTTGGTGAGCTCTGTTGGGTGGCTCATGGGTGGGGGTTGTTTACGATGTAAGTGGACTGCACCCCACAGCCCCAGAGCTGAAGGATCACTAGGCTTTGGGGTACAGGGGGTAGGGGCCAGAGTATCCCAGCCCTTACTCATCCTTGTGGTCCATGTATCTATAGAGGAAAGGAGAGCTGTCTTCACAGGTACATGGACTCAGCCTCTATGGCTTGTTCCAAAGCTCTGCTCCCTTCAGGAGTAAGGGAGAGAGAGTGGACTAGTTGAAGAGGAAGGAGCTGACCTGGGTGAGTTGTAGAACTAGCAGCGAGGGAAACACTCACTTACTGTAGGAGTGCAAATGTGCCCTCCTCTGTGAAACCCCCCATGCGGTGTCCTCCTCCCTGCTGTTTCCCTCCTCCAAGCAGAGTTCCTTGCTCCTTTCTTTCTGCCCGCCTCACTCCCTGCAGTCTGCTTGCTCCTCTTACATCAGCCCTTACAGGGCTGTACCAGGCGACCACCCTTCCTCCCCCAGCACCACCACTTGACTGGGAGCCCCTCAGGAACTAGGACAGGGTGTTGATGGACCATGTCACCCTATGGGAACTCCCTGATGTTTCTGACATGGATGAAGAGATGAATGAACGAGTGCATGAATGAAAAATGACTGGGCTTCCATTGCTGTGCAGATTTGGGAGGCAGAGATTCATGGAAAGAATTCTCGACCTGGGCTAGGTCTCAGCTCTTCCACTTACTAGCCGTCTGACAAGCCATGGGCCCTGATCCATAAAATGGGGGTAACTAATACTGATCTTAGGGGACTGATGGAGGAAGGGGACAGTCTAGGCAAAGTGCCCAGCGCAGTGGCTGGCACGTGACAGACACTCAACAAATGGAAGATACTAAGGCTATTTGACTCAAGTTGTTGCTGGGACACCATGCCCTTTGGAGAAAAGCGCCTCTTCTGGTATGCAATGTGTAGGATATTTAGGGGTGCTGATGGTAAATTCAGGGTGCCAACTGGCACTCAAAGCCCATAGCTATCTGTTACATTACTATGATTATACCAGCAGCTCTCAGGTAGAGGGAGGCAGAGAAAAAGACCCATTTTGTTCAGATAAGGAAACTGAGGCCTGTGAGCCCATCTGTTGAGTAAACAGAGAGAAATGGTTTCAGAAAACTGGGAAGCATTGCTTGCTTGCTTGATTGATTGATTCATTCAACAAGCAATCATTCATCATTGGGCACCTACTGCAGGCCAGGCCCTGCCCACAATAGCCAAGTAGGTGGGCTGAGCTGGGCGGGAACTGAGCAGAACTCACCACAAACTCGTCTGGGCCTCTTGGCCTGGGAAACGGGCAGGGAGAAGAGGGCAATGAGTTGACGCGCATGGATTGACTTTCGTGGGTGAAGGGTTCACGGCGCCATCTCAGGCTTCATCAGAGGAGCTTCTGAGCCAGACAGATTTTCTTGCGAGAACAGAGAGGGGAGGTAAAGTGCGCTGCTCAGGCAGGACGTTGCGAAGGACAGGTCGGGGCCTGGAGTCATCTGCAAAAGCGGCTCGAGGCCACTTCTCTGCTATGACCAGCTGATGTGAATGCCTAATTTCCAGGCAGGCTGTTGGAGCCAGCGTCCTGACTAGGACAGCTGGTGACATCTTTCAGAGTTCACAGGAAAGCACCATGACCTTTCCCATCCTGTATCTGTCAAGTCCTCGCTCTTCAAGCATTCACTTCTGTCCTCTGCATTGTTGGTTTCATTCCTTGGTTCCAAGATGGCCTCTGTTTTTCTAGCAGCCCACAGTTTGACTGTCCCCCATCTCATCCCCAGACACTGAGCCAAGTGGCCCAGTGCATGCGGAAGGAAATGTCTAGTCCCAACTTCTCACCAAGTTCAAAAGGCAGCTGCTGCCTCCATAGGTCCCAAGGCTGTGCAGCCACAGCCTGTCACTGTCACTGCCCTAATGAGCATTTCCACTCAGTGGGCCTGCAGGTGACAGCTGGGGGTGGGGAGGGACTAGCACCAAGCCTGGTGTGGGAACTGCACCCATGGGACACAGCAGGATCTCTCACTGGTGAGGCTGACACAGCCTGTAGGGCCTTGGGTGAAGCTTAGGGCTTCCTGTTCCGCTTTGGAACCCGAGGACTTGGGTTCAAATCCCAGCTCAACTACATCCTAGCTTGTTGACCTGGGGCAAGTTAATCAACCTCTTTGCCTGTTTTCTTATCTGTGAAGTGGGAATAATAATAGCATCTGCCTCCAAGTGGTGGCCATGAGGATTAAATGAATTAGTCCATGGAAAGCATTTAGTTAGTGCTCAGTAAACCTCATCTGCTCTTTTCTGGTCCCCTGCCTCTCCCTCCATTCCTGATCTCCTTCCCACTATTCACTTGTGCCGCATAGATATTATTCAAGGTTATTATTTCCCATTACCAGCCCTGGCTGAGTGTCCTAAGATGCCTCTCCTTCTTGTGCCTCTCGATGCTTTGCAACTGAATTTGCACTCTGTCTCACATGAGCTACACAGAACATCTGCTCCGGGTCAAAGATGGAAAACACAAGAAGAGAAAAGCCTGCCACTTTTCCAGGCTTGGCCACCACAGAAATGCCAGTGAGATGAGTCCGCTGTCCTGCCCGGTGGTCCAAGTGCTCAAACAGCTCCCCTGTCCCTGGGCTCTTGCCTGGAGGGTCTGGGAGCAGAGGTGATATGCAGAACATCTAAAAACTCACAGGGACCCTGAGGAATCAGAAAAGACCCTGGCCACAGTGCTGGCGCATGGGGTGCTTGGCGGGCCCAGGCTGGTAGAGCTCTTGACCAACTGGCCAGGAAGGATGAAAGTATTTTAACAATTGACATTGTCACACAGATGCGTTCTGGCTGTATAGCAGCTCTGCCGATGGCAAGAGCTGACACAGAGCCGTGGCCTGGCCTGTGAGAAGCCTGGGTAGAGGGAAGGTATGTCCTGTTGTCCTCTCTTCACGGCTGCGTGGTGAAGGGTTGAGAGAATTAAGTGCTCAAGGGGCTAGCCGGGTGGGCTGGTGCCAACAGTGCTGGCTTTGGCACCAAACCATCCACTCAGGAGCTTTGGCATCTTGAATGAGTTTTTAACCTCTGAGAACCTTGGTTATCTAACCTGTAGAATGGGGGAAGGAAAACATACAGGGCAAGGGTAAGCATCACGGAAAGCACCTTGCACAGGGCCCAGGGCTCAGGGCGTAGCTGAGGAAGTGGGAGCAACCCTTACTTCTTTTGAGGAGGCCTTGGTGTTCTTTACCTTAGATGGGACTCCTGCCCACGCTGGGGGTGACGGGGTACAAGTCTTCCCTTGAAGCAGCCAGACCTCTCCTCCTGCTGCGAGCACTCAGCCATCCTGAGTCCTGGAGGTGACTAACATGAAAGCAGCAACAATACAACCCACAAGGCAAAACAGAGCCAAGCCTGAGATCAAGGAAGGAACCCTCAGAGGTCATAAATAAAAGAGTGACCTCCAGCCAGAGGCCTGAGCTGGGCCTGGGGCAGAGCTTCCCAGCTGGGGCTGCAACTCAGCACCATCTGCGGGGACTTCCGGAGGTGCCCAGGCCACACCCCAGACCATTCACAGCAGCATCCCTGGAGGGGCGGGGTTAGGTACCAGGGGATTGTAAAGCTCCCCCTGTGGCTCCACTGTGCAGCCAGGCTGACAAAGGTCTTTGGCGTGGTGCTGAGTTTCCAATGCCTGCTCAGCCCAGGGATGAGCCTCCCATGCAGGGCAAGAGTCATGACATTCTCTGAGTCGGTGAAAGGGGGACAGGAAGAACTTTACTGATCAGCTTAGCTAAAGCGATAAAATGCAGGCTATCTACTGGGGCACCAGGGGTCAAAGGATGACCCCTGAGAATTCAGAGCTGGCCTGTGCCTCCTGAGAGTGCCAGGGAAGTGGTGACATCGTCAGCCTGGTACCAGTGCCCCAAGCAGAGACAGTAGCCAGAACCCCGGAGGGTGGCCACTTCTACCATGGTACACAGAACATTGCTATGGAAAACAGGTTCCCCACTGAACTTTCTAGAAGGGCACACAGACAATAAACAAGGGAGCAACTGTGCCAATGTTTCTCATGAAATCCTGTCTGTGCTCTAGAAGGAGCCTTTTAAAAAGTACTCACGTCCCTGATGGGTTTCCAGAGGTTTTGATTAAGCTTATCCCCAGTGTGACCTGGGCACTGGGATCTTTTATGAAGTTTCTCTGGGTTGAGAACTACAAAATAAATGAGGTGATTCAGAGAGTTTATAAGAGACCACCTGGCAGGATAATGGGATATGTAGTGGAAAGTGATTAGTTGAGGGTGGCCAGGCATGGACTCCCAGGGGGTGACATTCAATCTGAGACTTGAAAGATGATGAGGCAGCATGCAGGGAGCTGGGGAGGAGGCTTTCCAGTTCAGGGAAATACAAGTGCAAAGGCCCTGGGTCTGGAGTGAGTCTGGAAAGTTCTAGAAGAAGCACAAAGGCCTATATTGCTGGAATGTGGTGAGCCCGTGGGAAGGAGGGCTGACGACCTCGTAAGACATAGTAAGATGCTTGGCATTGTCTTCCAAGGGTGAAGGAAAGCCGCTGGCGGGCTTAAGCAGAGCAGTTACACAAGCAGAACCTGGGAAACTCACAGCTGCACGTATCTCATTTGCTCTGTAGCACGGGTACTCTCCACCACCCCTACCTTCTACCTCATCCTTTGTTTGCATTTTCTCAGTCACTCCGTGAAGGAGGCAGGTAGGTGTCTTCTCCATTTTGCACTGGAGAGGTGGCTCATCCACGCTCCTTGGGCTCTTGAGTGGCAGGCGTCTGGATCACTTGGTACTCATCCCTGAGCTCTTGCCCAGAGATGCTCAGGAGCACAAGAAACAGCCAGTCGTTATGACAGCCAGTTGCATCCTCGCCATCCCCATTCCTGGCTGTTGGAATGGGAAAGCACACTCTTGGCTCTTCTTGAGCAAAATAGCTCACCCCAGAGTGGTCTTCTTTGCAATATCCAACTTCCATGAAGCGCTAATTGTTGTGATGATATCCAGTCACCCCTTTGGACTCTGTCCAGCAGTTCCGCTGTGACAACCTCATTTTCAAAAATAAAGGCGCCGTGAACTGAACTGAAGGGGTATTGTGCGGAGCCAACCCCGACTTGGCTCACCCCAGTGTCTGGCCCTGGAGTCTGCACTCCTTGTTGGCTGGGACTGCCCTGCTGGGGTCCGCGTGGGCTACAGGGCAGTGTCCTCCCTGCTTGGCTGTCATCCCATTTTCTGTGATTCTGCCAAGGACTGGCTGCTCACAACTGGTGCTAGGTCAGTTTTGGAGAAGCCTCTTCAACATTTGAACATGTTGTCATGGCTGGAGCATTTGGCTTTTTCTTGACACAGTTCCTAGAACCGCTTGGGAGCCCCATTTCCCACCCCAGTTCCTAGGGGCAGGTAGGATGGCTGAGGAAGTGGTGAGGAAGGCTGAGAAAGGCTACAGGGGACCTTTCGTGTTCTTGTTGTGTGGTTCGTTTGGGTTTGGGCTGAAGACAACTAGGGGCGATTCTAGACAAACTGGTTGGTCTGGGGCTGGATGGCTCGATGCACTGTGTGTGGAAACTGGTCCTACCACCTGGACTTCTAAGGATGGAAATGAAATCCCTACCCTCATCATGAAGCCCAAAGGCGACAAAAACATTGCTTCTAAGCAGTAGGTAACCATGGCAACCTCTCACTGTTGTGGATGGCCCACCACCATCAGAACAAAGCCTCTTGTTTTTTGCTTTCTGGAGGGATGGCATAGAGTGCGCCCCACCCCTCCCTATTCTTACCACCTCACTGCCTTGCCCGAGGTCAAGGCTCAGCTACCCAAGAGGAGCTGCAGTTCTCGGGGCTCACCTGGCCCTTGGTGGATGCCAAGGGGAAGAGCCCTGGAGTGGGAAAGCAAAAAGATGGGATGAAGGTGGGAAGAAATGATGACATACAGCCCCTCTGGTGAGACAGGAGGGCTGGGGCAGGCTGTCGGTGTCATTGGAGATGCTCTCAAGGGCATTCAGGAGGCGGCACACATGCCTGGAGTCCCATCCGACCAGCATCATTCAATTCCTGTTCCTGCTTCATTCATTTTGGAAGGGGAGCCTTAATTAGGCGTGAAGAGATTTATCAAACCGCAGCCCTTGGAGCTGTGGGTCTCTTTGCCATCTGGACAGATGGTTCCCTACCCCGTGACAACAGCAGTGGGGATGATTTATGAGGCCCCACAGTTGCACCCCCTGGGCCCGGTGAAACCCGAATGGCTTTTGTCCTCCCTCAGAAGGAGCAAGATTTGGCATGTGTTGATGGGCACATGAGCTGGGGTTCCTGCTGAGGTTCTCCTGAGTCTGTGAATGTGATGCCTGACCTGTGGCAGCCAGGACTGTGCTTAGGGTCACTTTTCATTTACAGTGACCCAAGGATTAACCAAAAAAAGCCCTGGAGTAGGGAATAAGGAGACCTAGATGCAAATTCCGCTGGTGAGCTGTGTGGCTTCATATCGTCTTTTTGCCTCAGTTTTATGACTTCTACAAGGGGGATAATAATTTCTGCATCTGCCCAGCTCACATGATTTTTTTGGAGGTTCTTGTGACATCATAGAAGCAAAATAAATCTATTAATTTTACAGCCCTTGACAGGCATTCAGGATTTAATCCCAAGAAACATTTATTGAGCAATTGCTGTGTGCTATGCACCACCCCTGGTGCTGTGATGGACACAGATGAATAAAAACACAGGCCCTGCCCTTGGCGAGCTTACAGTCTAAGAACAGTCAGAGGACAAGTGCACAGTAACTATAATACAAGGCAGAATATGGTAAGTGCCATGAGAAAGGTACAAATAAAGTGCTATGGTGGTTCAGCGGAAGGAGATCCCAGTGGTTGGTAGATCAGGGAGGGCTTCATGAAAGATGTGGTTTCTGCATGGGCCTTGAAGGAAACAAAAAAGAGCATTCCAGGAGGTGAGCGCATTTCCGGGAGACGAGAACAGCAGGACCAAAGGCACAGAGACAGGAAAACCGGGCACCCCTTCCAGGAATGACAGCAGGGTGCAAAGGAAGAATGAGGCCTTACTAGGGGGGTCTGTACTGTCAGGATGAAGACGCGTACATCATTTTGTGGGCCAAGGGAACTTGTAAAACTGTGTGAATGGCTGGAGATGAAAGTCGCTATGCATTTTCAGGGTGGCCTGGAGAAGCCGCAAGCATGCCCAGAGGAAGTCTGGGAGCGGAGACTGCTGCTGAAGTTGCCCACATGACAAGAAGGCCGGAGTAGTGCTGGTGGGAAGGAGCAGCAAGGAAACAAATGGAGACGAGTCGAAGATAGATGACTTCAGGGTCTCGGAACTGGGTGGTTGAGAGGATCATGGGCCTTCTGACAGAAGAAGGAGGGAATCGCGGAGGAAGGAGAGGCAGAGATGATAACTTGACTCAGATGTGTTGCTTTTATGGCGCTGCCAACAAGCAGGGTGCAATCCGAACTTGGAATCTGGGAGAAGGGCTGGGCTGCAGGGAAGTGTGGATGGTGGACCCAGAGGAAGGTGTGAGGTTGCTGATGGAGAGGGTAGGGAGGTAACAGAAGGGAGCCGAGGAAGGGTTGCCAAGGGGGGGGGCGCGTCTATGTTATGGACAAGGAGGGGAGAGAGAAATAACGGTCAGATCTACCCTGACTCCTTTTTAGGTCAAGGTAAGGGCGTCAATAAATAAATCATAAATATATAAATAAATATATAAATACATAAATACACGACGAAGATGCATTGGGAAGGGAGGAGGAAAACCACAAGAAGGTGGTACCTAGGGCACCGAGGGGACAGGGAGTGACCAGGAGGGGTCGCTGTAGAGCCAACCAATGCGGAGAGCTTGGTGATGAGAAAGGGCAGTTCAGTGTGGCAACGTGGAGGGTGCGGCATCACTGATCCCAGGCACAGGGAGATCGGATGGGGGTCAGGAGGGATGGCAGTACAAGCCTGGAGCCCCCTTCCTAGGTCTGGTGGTGAAGGGGAGATGAGAGAAGAGGCCGCAGGAGCCAGGATGGATGGAGTGAGCACGTGATGGTGGGCAGAGAGAGTGGAGGCAGCAGAGGCGTGGCTGAGGGTGTCAGGAAGAACGTCACTGGCAGGAGGACAGATGTTGCTTCCTCAGAAATGGGAGGAAGAAGGTGAAGGGGATGGGGAGAGGAAGAGATTTTGAGGTGAGACCTCATTTCAACTGGCTCCATCTCTTCAGCAAAGGAGGAGGCAGATGGTGGGGGTCATTCAAGGACTTGAGGACAATGGCGAAGGTCTGAGAGGTTTCAGGGTGGCTGATGGCAGGGTAACTGGGGATTGACTGATGGTCCACAGGAAGTGACTGAAAGGGTCACCTGGCTGAGGCTGACTGACTACCTGCTCCCGGGATGGCTGTGACCACTGGACCAAGGCAGCAGATCAGGGAATTGGGGACAGGGGACAGGCTGGGACTCCTTGGGTCCCCTACCCCCCAGACTAGCTGGCTTATGCCCAAGGCTGCAGTGGAAACTCACTCAAACTGAGCTATAAAGAGAACCCAAGAGTTAGGGGACAGTGACATGTGGGTTGTCTTGGGTCCCCAGTCTTTCTCCGGAGTGGACCCAGAGGCAGGTTGTAAGGGCTTTTTCACTTCAACTCCCATCAGTTTCAGTTTCAGGAACCAAGATAGGACAGAAAGAAAACCATGTTTCCCAAAGAGCTCTCTCTGGCCCTTAAAATTCCCCAGAGAAGGTGCTGGCTGGTAGACGGGGTACAAAGCCAACTCTAGGACCTGCCATCAGGGCTCCCCTCAGGACTCACCGCTGGAATGTTCTAGAATCCAAAGCCTTGGCTAATCCAGTGAGGCCCCGCTGGCAATCCTGCCCATTCCCCAGGGCTCCGCAAGCTTCAGAAATTAAATGTCTCCAGGGCCTCTGAGATCCTCAAGATGAAAGGCCCTGGAGAAGTGTAAAATATGATCCTAATTATTTCCACTTCTCATGGCGAGTCCAAACCACTCAGTTCCCACAGAGGCTGTAAGGGCTGTTGCTTTTTAAAAATATTCATTTTATAATGCAAATCCCAAATCTCAGGCTTCAAGCATCCACAACGAGAACAACAGGAAAGAAACACAGAGATGTTAGAATCATAATCATGGTTTGGAGCTGCGTGTGGGGTTAATGGTTCTGAATATCCTTCTACCGCCTCCACTGGCTTCCTGTCGGCCATTAATTCAGACCAAATGTCCTGCTCTGAATTGCCATTGATTAATTATGTCCGGTCTCATATGCTTGGGAGCAGATCTTGATTACTTTCCTTAACTCTCTTCACCGTCAAGATAATGGTTTTTTACTTATCTTTCAAATATGTTTTAAAACACTGTTATTTATCAGGCAAGGGAATACATCTCACAAATGAAGCCAGCTAATGTTTGTCTATATGTGACCTGTGATTCCAGCCCCTACGGTATTGGCATCAGGCCCAGATTTCCCCCTGGGGAGATGATGTCCAGTATTTGGATACTGCATTTGGCTTTGGGTTTTAAAAAAAAAAAGTGTCCACTGCTTATCTTGATAGGGGGGAAAATGAATTTTGCAAAATTCTAAAATCATTGCCTCTCGAGGGAAAGGGAGTGGAGGGGACATTGGAAACGCTCCCTGCAGAGTTGAAAACCTCAGTGTTGGAGCTCAGTGTTGGCGAGTCTGACCATCAGGATAGGAGAATGACAAGAAAGTGACATTAACACAGCAGTCTGGCTGCAGAAGCCCGGCAGTGTGTGCCATGCAGAAAGCAAACAGAGAGAGTGGCTGTAGAGAAATGGAGCTAAACGCTTCCCATTCTTGTAGGCGTCCCACTCGGGGGCTCTGGAGGCGCCCAGAAAGGCAGTCATATGTATTTTTAAAAAGGTGACATTTATCTTTGTGGTGCCCTTTTAGGCATTCGCTGTGGATTCCCTGGTAGCACAAGTGGGACACTGCAGTCCCTTGTGTGACATTCGCACAGGGCAGGAAGGAGGCTAACCCTGCGGGTGACATCCCAGGGTCCCTTCCTCCCTGGGGGACTCAAGTCGCTTTAGAGAACACCCACCACACAACCACATTTTGGACGCTCTCCTGTGTTGTTTTGGGGTGGAGTGCTGCTGATCCTTAGCAAAAGGTTGCCAGTTTTCAAAAATGCAATTTGGAACACGCCAGCTCTTTAGTGTCATCTGTGTGCTCTGTCCCAGGTTCTTGGTGGTTCTCGCCAAGCCAGAATATGAACTGTCCATCGTGTCTTTTCTAGCTTTCTCTCTGTAGCTGTGGCGGCCCTTCTGGGACAGGTGGGTCAACCGTGGTTTCATCCCTTGGGCAGTTAAGCTCTAAGTGCGTGGAAAGGCCCTCTGCTGTGACGTGGCCTCTGCTTCTTGCTGTCCTTGTGCTCCTTTGCTCAGCTGGATGCTCCAACCTCCCTCTCCTCTGTAAACAGCACTGTTTTGAACTTGGGCGAAGTGGTCCCCTCTGGGTCTTGGCTCACCCAGAATTCCACCTTTCTCAGAGGCTTGGGGCAGCTGCCAGCAGGTGGCTCTCCATTCATTCATGAGCCCCAAAGGTCCCTCCAACCCAGGAGGCAGTTTGTCATCCACAGTCATGGGACTGGCTTCTTTTCATGGCGAGTCCTTCTGCCTCCAACGATGGACCGCGTCTGAATTCTGGTGGGTTCTCCACACCTTCTTCCTGTGGCTTATCTGCCTAATGCTAGATGAACACCACACAGTTATAAATACTCAGGTCAATATATATATGCAGGTATAGATATATATATTCTGGTCACTGTTTTACACTGGAACAAAGAAAACCACTAGCCAGCTTGCTCTACAGTTTGTGCCGCCCCCGACTCCCCGCTGCCTGTGGTGTAGCTGGCAGGAAATGTGAGCCACCGAGTCCCGCCGAGCGCCCGCTTTACGTGGCCCCGTCGCACTGGCCGACAGTCAGTTTCAAGGCTCCCTGCTCATGCAGGCTCTTGAGGGCCTTGAACTCCAAGGGCATGGTGTGGGGGCTGGCCTGGGAGGTGTAGCCATACTTGAGGCTGTCGTAATAGTGGTACTTGACGGGGTTCTGGTTCTGATCAAGTGGAAAGGGCCAGAAGCCGTAGAGGTAGATCTGGTTGCAGAAACGTGTGGCCAGGGTGTACATCAAAAGGCCGGTGGTGGGTCTCTTGATGTGGACTTTGTTGGTCAGCCAGTATCTGCAAAGGGTGGGGGTGGGGGTGGGCGCAGGGGAAGCAACAAAAGAAACAAAAAAAATGTGAGTTTTTAGTTTTCCTTAGCAGGAAGAGGGACATTTTCTCCTGCCCCCCAGCCTGCCTCCTGCCACTCCAGGAACTGCAGAGACCTATTGACTGACTGACTCCTGGGTCCCTTCACAGAGGACTGACACCCACCACTTATTGAGCCATGGAGCTGCCCCTGGTGCTGACAGCTTTCACATCCATGATTTAATGGAAGCCTCTTAGTAGATGCAGATACAGAAATGAGGCTCAGGGACGAAAAGTGGCATGCCCAAGGTCGCCGAGGTGACTCCAAACTGGCATTGTATAGGAACCAGGTCCTCTTTCCAGGCCTTCTGATGCCAAATCCATGTTTTCTTCCCTTCATAATGCAGCTCAAACTGACGTGGGGCAGCCGT